ATCTCGAAGATGACTTGGGTGTGGGTCAGATATCGGTTTTGTCTCTTCGGATATGGGTACCACAAGCGCAGATTTCGTGGGCATGGATCGGGTTGGGGTATGATTATTAGGTGTGATGCAGGTCTCGACTATAGAGTATAGTAGGGTGAGGGATGATTTGTCTAAATTGAGTGATAACTAGCTGCTCAGAAATTCAATCATTCTAATCATTAAGATAATAGGATAGATAAAATTTCAATAACTACTATTTGTATCTTTTGATTCTATGATTAGATATATAGATGTGCAGTATTTTTTATATTTGATAAATTAATGCATGTTAAGTTGAGTTTAGATATGTGAACCTATAATATTTCATTGATCATGTGTTCACACTTTATTTCATTCAAGAATATATTCGATTTTTTAAGCACCATGTACGTGACACATTACTTAGAAATTGATATTTAGTAACAAAATTTTTTGTAATAAGTTGGAAGTTCCTGCTAAGATACTCATTAAATACTTCCATTTATCTCTGAGTAATGCTACATTGGCAACTTAAAGTAATTTTAACATAAAATTCAGTGTATATGTTTGAGTTGCTACTCATTATTTCATAGTTTTTATGGAACATTAAAGCTTATACATCTGGTTTTTTCTGTGTACAATTCAGACATACTTAATTTTCTTATATTCTCAAGCTAGTCTTGATACTATCTAAAGAGACTAAGCAAGCTTTGAACATTTGCTTGTGAAATAATTCAGCATATCTTGAATTGCAGTTGATCTATTTTTTTTTATCCTAGCATCTATGAATACAAATATCATATAGATCGGATGTATGCAAGCCTGGTTATTTTAGATGACCTTATATCGAGCCGTCTAGATTGCCTAAATTGATGTTATCTCTGTCGCCTAAATTAACCGGAGGATGTAGACTGTGATTGGTTCATATTTGGAAAGTAGGAGATTGGAGACATTGAGTTGTGATGATTGTTAATCAATTAATTAGCAAATCAGTCTCATAAAATTCGTAATCCGCAGTTGTAGAATACATTTTTGCTCGAAGCCAAGCCCCGCGTGATGATCTATCTCTCCCTTAACCTCCGAAGCTCTCATCCACTCTCAACGCAACTTTCAGCACAAAAGCGTCTAAATTAACTTTCTTGATGCTATTGAATTAAGGTAATTTAAGCTACAACTAATATAACCATACCTGGATATATGTCATCCAAAGCGGAAAACTCATCTTTCATTGACTAATGGCTGGAAGCTCTCCTAGTGTTCATATTGGAATCTCTCATCAAAACCTCGGACATTGAGAAACGATTAGGAAGCGTTAGTACTTACCACAATAGATTCATTTGAATAATTTGAGATTTGACTTCTATATAGTTGGAAATCCAACACTCATCTTCCTCTTTGCTCCTTCCAGTCAACGAGAGCAATCACCTTAAAAGAGTACGACTGTGTGTTGCAAAGATAACCTTACTCTGATGATACGTAGAAATTAAATGTTGTATCACATGTTTGAGAATGTGAGAGTATTAAGAATTTGATGGAGTATTTCCACCCTTTCACCCGTTTGGCGATTTGAGAAACTAAAACCGGTAGAGCAAGTCAGGATACTCATGACATGTCGACAGAGGTTCCGAATCCTCGTCCGCATCTGAGTTCCCGAGAAGCGACGAATACGGCGTCGAAAGGGACTAGGGAGCATAAAAGCTCATGGAAAAGTATTGGCATGGGTGATGGGCAATGATGATGTCAGGAGTTGCGGGAGAGCAATTCCCAGCGGCATTTGGAATCGTTAAGCGGAACATAGACAGGTCTGTCGGAAGTGATTCCTTCATACAAGTTTGGTGGAGGATTGGTCGTCGCCGGCAGCATGCTCGACTTCTATCAAGCTCGTAGGGCGTCCGTGGTGCTCATTCGATCTTGATCCGTGTGTTGCCTAGAGTAAGTTCAGCAATTCAGCAGTTTGTGAATTTCGATTCACCAGTATGCTTGAAAGTTCGTTCCAGTACCTTCCATCGTATCCACGCCTTCAGGTAACGGAGTCCGAAAGCTATCCTCGAAATACCTTCAAAGTTATCCTTCGATGTTGAAGTTGGGACCAGATCGATTGTTGTGAAAGCGCCTCAGCACTCAACGAAGATACACTTCGAATGATCAACATACAGATACTTCTAGACCTCACCCACGGTACAAAAACCACCGCTGGTGAAACGGCCGGATTTTTGGATTGATTGTTATCTCGTCAGATAGACAGAGCTTTCACATGACCAATACCACCTTCAATCACTGGCAATCGGCTCGTGCTGTACAGACGAAAAATCACGGTCACCAGAAGATTGAACCGTTCAATTGAACCTATCGAAGCGAAGCGGAATCGAAAGGTTTCGAAAATTGCAATGAATGACGTCGGCGTTCGAAGTTTTGAGCTGCACGCAGGTACATCTCAAGGTGACAGATGCAGAGATTGTACACGCTTCACGTACGACTGTTTCGTCATGTAACCTTCGTCGACATGTAACGTAGAAACGCAGAAACGAAGAAGGGGCAAGACTCCGAAACGAAACAACAACGAAGCGAATCATCAGTGTCCTAATTGTTGGTGGCAGAGGTGACGAACACGAGACAGATTCCAAGAACTGAAATCACAATGTCATCGAGCGGCTCAGCGTCTTGGAGTAGAAGAGATAGTGCGCACTCACAAGATTGACTTCAGAGGCCTTCGCTCCAACTGCACTGTCCTGCCCTGCCACATCAGCTGCGGCGACATTCCCAGGATCGTTCCAGTGCTCGCGGAGGGAAAAAGGCCCCTCTTCAACATGAGCGCGGACCTTTCGACAGAAAGTGGCGATGAGGCCAGGCGCAGGAGTTCGAGGACCAAAGAACGAAAAGTAGAGTGGGCAAGAGAGCCATTATATTGTCGATGACATCAAGAAACAATTCCTGTGCGGTACGTAGATGATTTGCGAGCACTCTGACACGTTCTACCAGATAATAAAGCGTGGATTCATCATGACACGGTATTTCCAAGCGAGCAGAACACGGCGCGATCTGAGAGGCCAGTACCGTCGAGTACTGCAGGGAACAGGTGACAGTCATCTCATAAAACTAAACAGAACAGAAACATTCGGTGATCTCAAAGCTCTGCCCACAGGCGAAAGAGCGTTTGCTCGTAGAATTCAACTACCTTATACCTTGGAACATCGAACCAGCACAGTACCCTCACTGGTAGTCGAGGTGAGGAGAGTGGAACCAGAAAATTAATCACCTGGGCTTAAACATTCCAAAAGGGAGTCCTCTATGGACATCCCCTCCAAGGAATTTGCAATAATGTACGGTGTGTTTCCATCTTAAATTCGCATCCTCCATCGTCCGCCTATCTCAGGTGATTAGTTTCATCAGATGAGAGTGCGCGAATGCCGCGAACGAGGCGTCTGGAAATACATAACCGTGTTCATGGAACCAAACAGAAAGGTGCTCGAAATGAGCTCTCTTCGATGGACTGGGTGACAGGATTGGTGCTTTTCTCGACACTTGGCGACTACCTCGGCCTAGCCTGCGGTTTCGAGACCGGCGAGCCTGTTTCACGACATCGGATGCTCCAAGTGCTGGTCAGTCTTAAATCGTCCGCGTCATGTGCCCACCCCGGCTAGTGCTTGCGAGGGATCCATAGAGCAGGGGATCCTCAATCGTACAGCCCAAAAGCCTGAGACACAGCGGAAAAGTGGCTGAAGTCGAATAGACCTGAGGCACCCGACCTTCACTCTACGTACGGTACGTGACCCTGTCAGGAAGTGGTTATCGCCGGTGCGCGTAGCCTAGCAGCGGATCGCTTTTCTCTTGAGGATCACGTGCGCCAGGGCGTGCAAGTTGAGCCAGACACTTCGGGTGTGCAGTTTAGTCGACCAATCTTCTTTCCTGCGGCGGCTGACGAGCCTACACACTGCGAGGCTCACACAGAGAACCTTATGCTAACGATGCTGTCTGGTATGGAGAAACACGCAATGGGTTTCGATGACCTCTGACTCGATGCATGAGACGATTTCCTCGCCCAAACTAGTCGTTGGCTCTCGAGGTGTGATGATCGACGAGTTCTCTTTACAGTACTTCGCTTTTCAGTTTTGCAATTGATGTGTTACCGAAGCTCCTATTAAGAACGCCACCAACTTGAGGAAGAGTATCGAGAGTCAGGTTCATATTCACTTCTGTAAACAGCTCCCTCTCTCCTGCGATAATTGGTTGCGAAGAGCCATGCTTTGATGAAACTCTCTACCCAGCCATCGACCTCTCTTGGCAGCACAAAATTGCTTGGAGAGATTCAGACCTGTTTCCGACTTCCGGGCTAGGCACAGTGAAGGTGGAGGCAACCGAGTCCCGAGTCAAAGAGGGGATTTCCAGTTGACCACATACATCATCCAAGAGGAGAAATTCCTTCCGCACTCGAAGGCTACGGAGGAGGTATTAGTCCAGCGTCAAAGGCCGATAGATTGCAAGAAATAAGCCAAGAAAGGTAAAGCTTGCTACCAGGCTGATAAGTACCAGGGCCGGATGCAGTAAGTCCGACATTTTGTGAAATTGACGCGCGCAATGTTAATGCCAGCGTCCATCATAGCGAAGGGATTTCAGTATCCCTCAATCAAATTTCGACCTCCCATTACTTTCCTCGTAAGTATGGCCATGAAGCCATCCGGACGGTCCGACAATGTCTGTTAGATTGCGCCGAGCGATGTTCAGCAGTATTGCAATTACTATCCTGCAAGTCGAGTCTGAAAGTTGAAGAAGTTATATGCGACCATACATCACGAACCGTTCTCAATGACATATGAGAGTCGACGCCACAGAGACTGCATACTTGACTCGCAATACGGATATTTTCCGTCTTTTCTTTGATATGAGAACCAATCTGTTTAGTTATTTTGAGCAGGCCTCCACCCAGGTTTAGGTACAGTACACATCACAAACTTTCCCTCCAGAGATTAAGTGAGCGAATTTAGAGATTGACCCAGAGCCTACGCCAGTAGCTAGTGATTAAGATAAACTCCAGAGGATCAATGAGCGAATTTCAGTATCAGTGGGAGGAAGGGTTCTTTCTACAAACGACAAAATAACAGATCGAGACTGCAGACGGGCAGACGGATTCGAAGGAGACCATTATAGTTGACATGCCAGCCGCCTCTTTTGAAGGCTGGAAGGTGACTTTCGATTCTGGAGCAGATCGTCCATTTCCATATCATCTACCATGGCCTCATTCGGGTGCAAAGAACAATTACTCACATACGCTCATTAGAGTTGACGCTAAACTGCCTGGCGATCAGACAATCATCTTCGGGCGCGTCGTCCAAGATCCTCTTCAAAGCACTGGCGCACGTCATCAACTGATAGGTACAAGTCATTTTCGGGATACGTGCTTCCAGAGAGACAGACAGCTCTGACACACTAAACCTCTGCACTTAAGTTTAGAGGTTTAGTTCCGTAGACAGTTAAGAAGTCACCTTGCAAGTTCTATATGCAAACCACCTCTGCTCTTTTGTATCACTTCAGCAGTCGAATGTAACATTGGTGAGTGTGGTTCACAACTCAAGCTCAATGTGACTACAATCGTTGTTTCTGACTTTACTTCAGCTTTGGAAAAGAGGGTTTCTCGATGAGGTTTGTTGTCCTTACCACGAACGAACCCTTCACAATTTTGGGAGCAATGAAGGATGAATACCTTACTGCACTTCTGCCTTTCTTGACCTTGTCCTCCGAACAGTTTTCGTTACTGCTTTCCTATTCTCAAGTGCATCAACAGGGTCGGACTTTTTCCGCCTCTTGGAAGGCTTTTCGTGCACAATTGCTCTCACTGCCTCACCCTCCGCAAATACATTAGATCCTGCCTTTCTTGACCCTGTCCTCCGTACAATTTTGGTTACTGCTTTCCTACTCTCAAGTGCATCACCAGGGTCCGACTTTTTCCGCCTCTTGGAAGGCTTTTCGTGCACAATTGCTCTCGCTGCCTCACTCTCTGCAAATACATTAGATTCTGTTTTTCTCTCTTCAAGAATAACCTCGTCTTTAGTATCGCAAATTTTGGCCTTCCTGCTTTTCCTGGAGGTTTGCACGCTAGATCTTGCTTTCAAGACTTTCTCGATAGCCAGCTTGCAGCCATCCAAAGTCTTCTCTTTTCTGGATGATTTTTTGGATGTTGTGAAGAACATCGGTGTCTGGAGAGCTGGTACATAAGCAGAAGTCTGGTGAATGCAACAAGCCAGGGTAATGAATGTTTGTTCTCGTTGTCGATCATGCTTGGGACAACGACAAAATCGACGTACACATCCCTTTCGAATTCAAGCTATGAGGTACTAAGCTCTTATGCTTGAAATCGATCACTTCCAGGCAATATAAATGACATTTTGGGCCTGCGATGGTACTCACCCGTCCTCCGACTTTGATGAAGTCTATTTTGTTTCCTGCGTTCACACAACATAGCTGCTCATATCAAATACAAGCATTCACTAGAGAGCACGTTGTGTTCTCTCTCTCTCAAAATAAAAATTAATACTAAACGATATGTCAACACCAGGCTATTAGGAAAATATATGTCTGCTAAGAAAGTAGAAACAACCGTTCTTTAGATTGAGGCACTTTACCGTCCAAAGAGCCAGGCCTTTTGTTCCACCGCAGATGAAACAGCCAGTGCTTCGGAAAGTTTTCGTGGTCGGCATTTGCTGTGACTGAGAAATACACTACCTGCAAGGGTGGAGTTTCAATTTGGTTGACCGCCGTGGACTCGATGCAGGCTACGAGCTTAGTGAAATCTCTAGCTGGGAGTAGTACAGTGAAAATTGGTGGATGTTTGTACTCTTCTTGACGGGGCACTGCAGCTAGATATAAATAACTGATACCGCAGCTAATAGAAGACGAATGAATTCTGGCCTTGAAAATAGGCTTGCAAAGCATTTGGACTATACCTCTTGAATAGCTCTGTGCAGTCTTCCGCAATCTTCAGAAGTCATGTTGGAAGCTAGTGTTTCTGGATGTATCCGAGCCTGAACGACACATACGCCCGAAGCAGGGAGAAAACATTTGCGAGCACGTCAAGGGAACCCAGTGCAAGAAGGCAAGGTTGCAAACAGAAACATTAAAAAGCGCTGACATTCGTAAGAAGAATAAATAGATCAACAGAACTGGCCTGGATTCATTAAGAACCAAGGAATGAACAGTAAGAGATCTAAACTGACGACAGCAAGAACTTGAACCAGAAAAAAGCCCAGCGAACCAAGTGTGACGAGCTCAAAGTCTACGACGACGACTGCGTGGGGATGGCAACGAAGGTGACACAGAGGTAGGAAGAAGGTTCTCTGAAAGCAATAGAAACAGCAAGTTTCTTCTTTTCTTCTTGACCCTCCAGCCTCTTAGCAGAACTGAGAAAAACTCTCAGCTTCACCTATGATCATACCGAGCCAGAAATAAAAGGAAGGCACCATAGGCTTTATCGAAAATCTCACCTGATATAGAACCTCATCTGCTATCCAGTTCCCTATGCCCGCCAGGAAACTCTAGAATCAACCACCCCCAAGTTCATATTACTTAGCGGAACAAGACGTGACAAAAATGCAATGTTCTGACAGCTTTCGGCTGTGTCACAGCAGCAACATAGATGAGAAGAAAATGTAAACCACTTCCTGACATCCAGTCACAGCTGGCAGAACAAGAGAATCCATCAAATACACTTCTGAAGTACCTGATCAAGAATAACACCTTTTATCGATCCTTTCCTTAACTGGACAGCCTGTCTGAACGCGTCATTGTCTGGAAGCTCCAAATAGGCATCTGGACCCAATTCTGATATAGGTGACTCTGTTGGGGGCTGCATTAACGAGATGGAAGTTACTGCCAAAAAAGAGTCGTCACTACTCATATCCCTGCCTAAGGGTCGTGTGGTGACACAACCCTTAGTAAATACCTTAATGGCGTTTCCATAAGTTGTAGTCCCAACGTAACAAATTCTGGACAAAGTAATCAGATACGCGACTCACATCTTGAAGTAGGCGAATTCTCGCAAAGCGCCGACTATCGGTGAAGGCCATCTGCACTCCGTTTCCCAACTGCAGCAGAGAAGTCAATGGCGTAGAAGAAGGGACGAAAAGACGAAAAGCTAGACACTCGTGCAGGACGGTAGCTGTGGTTTCAGTCCATCCTTGGCCTCTACAAACAGTAATTGGCCACAGCACTGCCTTTCCGTTGAGCTCCATACGAGCGGCTCAGAGCCTCAACCTAATCTCGAGAAAACTCAGTCGTGCGCAATCCTCAGGGTTCAGACCAGCGTGATAGACAATTGTTTTGATTCATGCTCACGGTCAAACACAATCCTAAATTTCGTCACGTGCATCAATACAACCTTTCTTGCATGAAATTGTACCTCGGAGCGTCGGAATCTATAAGACAAGATGGACTCGTGGTGGGACACATACCTCCACGAGCACCTTCGCATATTTTGAGGGCCATTCTTCTTCGTCATTGGCAGCAGACCTGGTACGAAGGCTAAAAATGTGAGTAAAGGGGAAGATCATGTACGCAGGACAGTGCAGTCCGATGAAGAGTTCTCGAAGAAAGTCCCATGAAATGTCCTGGTGCTTGTAGCACATGCCGCTGGCTTCTTCTATTAACAGCTCAACTTCTGAGCGTTCGCAGGTAAGAAGTACCAGAATGGAACAACGTGGATATTAATTAGAGCAGGGAAGAATGGAAAGCATAGAAGCAGTATCCTTTCCAACGTTGAGTAGATACAGTGTCAATTACCGCTTGTAACAAACACCTTTAAAATTTTTAATCAAAATTGCACCCGTCATTCCTGCAGACAGAAACCGAGCTCATTAGTGGTGGCTCTGGAGTAGACCACACCCATGCCATGCTGCCAAGGCACTCAGCAAAAGTTTGGAGGGACGAGGTGAATCAGAACGTAAAACCTCAACTCATGACGACAAATGAGAAGGAAGATATTTGGTGCAATCAATAAAGCAGAAGAATCGATTTCGCTAGAGAGTTCGGGTTTTAGCAGTGGACTAGAAACTACAGTGCTTCTTCAAACTTGGCTTTCCGAGCACAAGAACGTACATACCAAATTGGAAAACGGGCCAAGGACGTTGGTCCAGCTCCAACCACAAGTGCTTTCCTTTACGTCCAGCCCGGACTATGGTCCTGCCAGTAAGAGCTTCTTCAAGAGCCTGCGCGCTCACATTGCACAGAACTTTGGTGTCACTTTGAACTTCGGCCCTCACTATGGGCTGGCCGAGGCAGTGGTCCTCGACGAATTTGCGCGAAGCTTCGACCTCCGGCAGTTCTGGCATCTTCGCCGATTCAAACTCTCTTCTCCTCAAAACATTCTCGAACAACACATCAGCCAGTCATATGCTTTGCTTTGCTTTGCCTTGCCGCACCTAACAACACTCACGAACTGAGCCAATTCTGCAGCTACCCGAGTCAAATCTAAAGATGCAGGTCCAGTCTTGGCTCTCGGTGCCAAGAGTCCTTCTCGCTGATGAAATCCATCAGCATCAGCATCTGCTCTTCCTGCTCTTCCCGGTATCGTATTGTACTGCGAGCATAGTAGATTCTACGGGCCTTCTCGGTCCCATCAAACGGCGCTCGGTTCACTTCTGAAGGTGTATCGGCACATCTTTACACCTTTGATTCCCTCTCGTTAAATGCACATCCCATTTAAATTCTTACGTGGCTTTGACACGCGACAAGCTTAATGATTATTGGCAGGAATATGTCCCAGTTTTGTTTAATTCCGTTCAACAACTCAGTCTGCATCTTCATTAGTCGCGATTGGTCTTGTCACATAAGCATGTCGAATGCGGCCTGTCTGTCTGCTCTCAATGGACCAAGGTAGGCGATACTCTAACGCTTCACACGCTTCAGTTTCTTTGATCTGAGCTTACGACAAAACGCTCCTTCCAATATGATATCCTACAAACACTCGCAAGACAATTCGCACTAAAACGAGCACTGGTTCGTTAATTAAAAGCCAATCGATATACGAGATCTGCACCTCAGTGGTCCATATCACTCTTTGCTCGTTCAAGTATACAAGAGTATGGAAGTCCCACATGGAGTCACCATTGAGATGATTTTTTCCCGACTTGCCTTGTACTCAATCTATACATATCAGGTTCTCATCGGGTGTTCTATCAGCTTGCTGGATATTCCCCTAAGTGTTCATCTAGTCTTGAAATTAAAGAAAACTGTTTTCACATGTTTAAGAGATTAACGACAGCCTACAAAATTGCAAGAGATGTTGATTTTATTTCTATAGTATGTTATGTATATGAAACGGCATCATTACTTCATAAAGTTCGTCAGTTGGTGCAATCCGTTATATGATCACGTAAATTATTATGTCTACGGGGTTTTTTTATCAAATCTTTATTATACATTTTTCATCAATCAATACGTATGTTTCATGTTTGCTTTTTTATCTATGTACGGATTAAATATATAAATTATTTATATTCCTTTTAATTTTCTTAAGAATGAACTCTTCAAAGTAAAATAAATAATATAGCAACAATAATGAAAATATATCATCGACTTGTGTGTGGATGAACATATGAATGATTTTGTGGACTTATATAAGTTCAAGATGATATGCATATTATAACATGATGAAGATGTGTATGTGCGTAAAAAATTTCTATTTATTGAACTATGAAAAGAGCATTTCATAATGAATATAAGATTTGTATTTTATATGTGCATATTTAAAATACACATGTACGTTGTTGAACAATGCATTTCTTGAATCATTTTAGAATCTTTTGAATGTCATCTGGATAGCAAAAGAATTAGATATCTCGTCAAGTTGTACAAATTTGAAATTCAACAGAAAATTCAATATTATTTTTTGGTAGTAACATGGTAGAAAAATATGTATATAAAACTTAAAATATCAAACTATCAAGATGGGAAAGGTTTAGGTACAAGTGATTTTCTATGTGAAGCATTTGCTGTTAAGCAATGAAATCGCATTGATTAGACTAAATTACGAATTGGGCCTTAAAAAAGCGACTCTTTACCGCTTATCATGCTACGTTAGCACACACTTTCTTATAAACCTATCAAAATTGGATCACAATTCTATACCAGTGAATCAAGAAGTTGAATCCTATGTATATTTATGTATGTGGAGGTTGCAGGTGTATGTTGCTGTTTATAAAAATATCGATGATTATTTATTCTAATGATTTGTCTTGTGTAACATCAATGACCATAATGTTTGCCACTGTAAATTAATATTCATCCCAATATGGGTGTGCCAAACCCAAGTCGATTTCCTCTTATACGAACATTCATTCTCAACGAATTATCCATTCTCACAAGCACCAAATCCCTAATGGTATCTTGATAGATACCTACAACCATTAAAATACCAATGCATTATAAAATTGTATGTTGGAACTTTCAATGAACAATTCCACATTATCACTAACAATGTTGTTTAAGAATGAACCATGTTGAAACATGCCAACGAATATTTGAACATTCTCAAGAAGGTTTTATTCCAATGAAGTAAACTTGGATTCTTGACTTAATCAAAACACTTCGTTCCCTTATATACGCACTCTTGCGCATCCCCGGCGGCCTCTCGTCCACAAAAAAGAGGATGAATTGAGGCGTGCAGTCCTAACGATTTAAGCCAATCGATTCCGATTTACCGTTGCAGAATCGAGATCAGTCTCACAGTGCGGCTTCTGTGGTCCTAGGTCCTCACTGTCACCAGAGTCGTCAATCCGGGATTCATTCATCTTGCCAGAGACAGAAGGTCGAATGAAGTTTTCATGGCTTGACCGAAAACACTGCGGACGACCGAGCCTCCAGTTGCCTGGATGTGTTCGGTGAGCGGATCCTGAGGACCAGGGCCAGGCTGATACGGGTCTGACATCGTCGGCCGGGCCTTGACATGACCAATAATGGTGTCAGATCGACGTGTCATGGACGATTGCGTTCTGGTGATCTGTCCTAACAGGTAGAAAATTCTAAATACAGCACAGAGCTCCTTCCCACAGCCCTTGCTGTTGCGGTTGAGCTCCTGCATTGGACCTGCATGTTTCTCTCGGACTTCACGGCGCGTTGCCCAGAGACCAGGAGGCGGATTCTAATTTGGTCGAACATTCCACGAAATCGAGGATGACTTCGGTCGTCCTCGACTTGACTACTCGGACCCGAGCCACCGAGCTCCAGCTCTCGGCTTCCGTCCAGTATCGGGTTGTCATGTTCGATTGCTAGAGGGAGAAAGAACGGCGACGATGCAGCAGTTTGTGAAATGAAGTGTTTTGTAAGGTTGGTCTTTTCCGAACGAAGCGTTGGATCTTGTCTCCAAGTCGAGTCTCATGTCAGGATCCATCTCCGGGGATGGACGACAGGAGTAGGGAAAAGCTGTTGACAAATCCGAATTCCAACACGGAGTGACTGACGCCTGAATGTGGGCCTGGGGTTGGGTTCGCATCCCAGCAACGAGGTTGTTTTCGTACAGAGAGTCGAATGCGAATTTGGGCTGGCTATGGCACTAAATACTCGAGATTAAGGCCAAGATCGCGACCCTGACCTCATCCACCCTCTCAGTCTGGAGAAAACACCTTTCTGCGAGTGGAGATCGTCCTTGCTCGACTCGAAACTCCAGGTCGTATCCCAAAAAGCAAGTAATATCTCCTGTCCACATTCAGATGGAAAGGATGAAGAGTGTAATCGGAGTCAGCCTAGACGGGAGAATCATCGTCCCCCCCTGCCCATCTCTCCAGTCTGGATGAACGGGTGCTCGGTTAGTTAGGTGGAAAGAATGAAAGGATCGAAGATGGTGGCCTGAGAACAAAAGACTTTTTAGGAACCCACGAAGTTTGTCTCCCTTTTCAAGCAGGGCAATGGCCGGGGATGGTAGAGTTTTCGTCATCCCCTATCTATCTTTATCACTTTATATCTTCATCCGTGGACTCGTGCCCTGGTAAGATGTGCAAAGAGGGATCGACAGATGCGTCTGGGTTATCTTCCCGTGTCTCAGTTCACATTATTTATATTGATCTTACTCTTAGCCACGTCCGAAGTGGGAGTTGCAGCCTTGACGGGTCGACTCGGCTTTGTCGACAAAGCTTCGCTTGCAGATTTCGATTCGGTCCTCGGAAGTTCATCGTCGGTTCTTACCTGGTGCAGTATGTGCTCGGATGAGACCCTTTTGCAAAGTCAGGTTAGTTGTGCGTCAGTCTCGCAAGCATTCACTCGTCATACAGAGGAATAATCAATCCGACGCTCAAAATGAAGGAGTCTGGAAGTGGTGAAAGCAAAATCCAAGATGCGAATGAAATCTTCTCCGGAAGAAGGGAAGGGAAGGGAAGGGAAGGGAAGGGAATGGAAAGGAAAGGACAAGAAAGCTTGGTCACGGCGAGACAGACACGAAAAGCGGAAGAAGTGAAGCAAGTGAAGTGGAGAAGAGTGAAGGAGTAGGACGAGCAGCAGGAGGATGAGGAAGCGGAAGTGGAAGTGGAAGAGGAAGAGGAAGCGGGGGAGCCAAGGCCCGCAAAGGCTCCATGGCCTGCGTGCCAACTGCCAGTCCAGGCCATGCCATTGCATTCCGTGTGCAGACAGAACAGTGGCAGAGGGCGAGTGAGGTGGAGGTGGAGGCGAGCGCTTTATGGGGCGAATAGCGCTGACGTGGGCTGGACCACGGGACGGGAGTCGGGAGTCGGGAGGCGGGAGGGGGAGTCGCTGCTGCTGCTGCGCCTTTTTCTTGGAGCTCAGGACCAGCAGCGCCGGTCCCTTTTCTCTCTTCTGTCTGTCATGAGGTGCTGCGAGGCGCGGCCAGGCGGAGGAGGAGGAGGAAACCAGGTCGCCTTATGAGCCAGGGGATCGGAGCGAGCGAGAGGACGACGAGCGAGGCGAGGCGAGGGGGCGGAGGAGGAGCCACACGGCCAGGGGAGGGGACGCGCAGGAAGGAGAGGAGAGGCGAGGCGAGGCGAGGGTAGGACGGGACGGGAAGGGAAGGCAAGGGCCAGGGCAGCAGCCCCGGGGCGAGCAGGAGCAGGAGCAGGAGGAGGGGCGAGGGGCCGCGAGGGGCTGGAACTGGGACGCATCGTCAGGGATGGCCGTGGATTGGAGCGTCTGTGAAGCGGGCGAGGGCGATAGAATGGTGGATTGCGCAATCGTTCCAGTTTCTGCCGGATCAATTTGCGAGTTTGCACATCCCCGTCATCTGCCGCAGCTTCGCGTGTCTGCTGCGGCTATTTCTTATTTTTGGTAATTTTTTCGATTTCTGCATCAGCAGCAGCAGCAGCAGCAACCGGAGGAGGAGGAGAAGGAGGAGCAACACCAGCAGCAGCAGCAGCTAGACAGTGAGTGAGTGAGCGAGTGAGTGAGTAGGTCAGTGAGTCAGTCTGTCGCCCCGGCAACCTGCCTGCTTGCCAGCAAAGTCAGGAAGCAAGCTAAGGTGTCGACCCGTATGCTGGCGTGCACGTGTGTGTCCTGCCATTCGTTGAGCTGAGAAGAGAAGGAACACATTTTTCTCTCACCATCACAATTAATCAAGTGTGTGGTGCCAACAAACAACGAGCATTAAATCTAGAGGCATATCACATCGTGCCTGTCCGCTGCGGTGCCGCTTGCGTTGTGGTGGTTTCAGCAGTTCCATCTTGGTTCCAAGATCTGTTTTCTGCACTTCCGTGAAGTGCTGTGTACTGTTATTCAGCCCATATCGTTTGCTGCCCTTCGTACTCTCAACGCAACGTCTCCTGGAGTCTGGAGTGAGAGGATGGGCTAGTAATGGTGTGCTTTTTGGTTGTTGCATCCTTTCTCGACATGGCGGCCTTCTCTCCCACTTTCACAGTAAGTCGGCCACTGTCTTGTTACAATTCGAATTCTGAACTAGCGTTACACTTGCCGTAGTCTCATGAACATTGCAACATTGTCAATCGGCTCCGAGCTCGGATGCTGCAAGAAGTTACCATGGTTAGAATCTCCGGACTCGAGATCTAGGGCCGAGATCAGGGAAGCAATCCCGGAGGAGTGTGGAATTGGCACACCTTCAGGCGGCAGGAATTGGCCGGGGAGATTCATTGTGGGATACAGGATGCGTTGACTCTTGGGGATCCCAACTCTAGCCAATACTCTTTGTTGGATTACGACGAAATTGGAGATTGGGGCAAGAGCACCCTTCACTAGCTACTGCCGTTGACCTCTTGATTTCAAGTTTTCGAGTAACTGTGTGCGGATATCTACGGCAATCTTCTCACTGGGTCTTGCATGGGTGACATGTGTTCCCCGAGGGATCAAGACCATTTTCGTATGCTGCATTATGCTTTTGACGGACAAACCCCTATATTTGCAATCTGTTGGTGCTAGATGGGTTTTTCACAAGTGGTATCTGTGACGGCCCATTTGCACGTAACGAGAATGTGCAGAGAGCATAATACATCTATCGTAGGTCTGGAGCTTTTCTTGAATTCAGTTTTTTTGTTCTTAATGTGCGTGCCATGACTCTTCACAGGTAGAAAGGTTCAACCAGCTTTGGAAATCTTGAGAAAGGAGTCCAATTTTTATATTTTGGCGCTAGTATGTAAGTCCTCAGTGTTTATCCCATAGAACCCGTCTCAAAATTGTGGACTTCGACCAAAAGGCTTGGAAATCGCTTGGCTTTAGAGGTCCACCACTTTTTCGATATCTAGGGAATGACCTGGACGAGCCGCTTCTAGATAGAAGCGACATTCGCTTACCATGTTCGCATTTGAATTCTTCAAGGTGGTCAACAGGGTTTTCTCCCAACATCTTTGTCTACTATTCCCTTAATATTTAAACTGTTCCTCTTTCTATGACAGGTTTGGAGCATTTTGAGCTTTTGAGAGGAGAATGTTGCTGTCTGGGGAGAATATAGGAGCAGCCTTCTATAATGCTATGGCTTTCTTATTGAATTGCTGTGGATCGAAAAGTCCCCGACGGCGGACTGGCTTAGAAGATGCTGAAGTCATTGCTCGTGATACCGTTTGTATGCCCTCATTCCCCCGGCTTTTATTTTTTTATCACTAGATGGATGTTCATGGGAATGACCCATTGACGGAACCCAAATTTTGTTTATTCACCGTTATATATGTTCCCGGTGGTTGGAATCTCTGGGCAACTACAGTTTGAAAACACGTCGTGATTTGATGACTGAGGGACTCTTCTGGTGTTTCCATTCGAATTCCTAACCAAGTTGACGGCCGTGAACGATTGTACAGCACATGAAATCTAGCCCTTTTTCGGTGCAAGTTTGCTAGATCTCGAAAAGTAGGCGGATCAGCTGAACAGTGATTTGTATTCATGGCCCGACAGTTTCTCGATAGTGATGAAGGCCTTTTCCGTGTCTTCTTCTTTACAACTTCGCCTGTGTTGCCTGGTTTGCAGTTAGTGTAAGTGAGGTGGAGGCACTTTACGAGCTCTTTAAGAAAATAAGCAGTGCTGTCATAGACGACGGCCTTATTAACAAGGTACAAGAATGTTCGTGCTAAGTTTCCGGATAGAGTGCCGACAAATTGCAGACAAATTCATGTATATTTGTATCTCACGTTAATCGCTTTCTGTAGGGCATGTGCTTTGTTGTTTGTAAACTAACTGAGGAAATATTCTGATGTCCTGCAGGAAGAGTTTCAAATGGCCTTATTTAAATCGAAAAGTAAAAAGGAGAGCTTATTCGCAGACCGAGTAAGAGCACGTTGAGTCTAAATGTATTGCGATGAGCTTACGTACTTACGGCTTTTGCAACTTTTTCAGTTGTCTTCCGTGTTTGTTTGTGTGCGCGCTGCTCAGTCTGCTAGAGTTTGATCTTCTTTGATCAAAAAGACAGAACGTGTCCTGTATAATACAGGGAACTCCTACTTTGTGTACTTCCACCGATGAGACTCCGTCTTTAGCTCATGTGTCTGTATTCTTCTAGGTCTTCAACTTATTTGACGTGAAGAATGATGGGCTACTAGAGTTTGGGGAATTTGCGCGCTCCATTTCAGTTTTTCACCCCAATGCTCCGACGGAGGACAAAATTGATTGTGAGTGCCTTCTAACGATGAAACTCCCTGCTCAGCTTGTGGATTTGAAGCAGTTGAAATTTTGGAATATGCTGATTCGCACGAACCAATGACCTGGTAGTTCACATCCGAGGTCTTCTGAACCAGGATATCTCCGGCATTTGGACACGCGCATGCTTGAAGTATTATAATGTAATGATTGTTCTGGGATGTGGCCTTTGCAGTTTCCTTCCGACTGTACGACTTACAGCAGCAAGGATACATTGAGCGGAAAGAGGTAGGTTCTTTAGGAGTACTTCTTGTTGGGTGTGTTGAATATGACTGAAGGAGTTGAATATGCTTGCGGTGTTGTGTGTAATCATGTATCAGGGAGTGGAATCGAGCTATGCTGATATAATTGTTGACTTTCTGAATGAATGGAGCCCGCCCCTTCATCTACTCACTCGAGGTTGTGTTGATCGTATGAATAAACTCGGTGTTTGGAAATTGGATACAGGTGAAACGGATGGTGGTGGCCATGCTCGCGGAATCTGGTCTGAATCTTTCAGATGAAGTGATTGAGAACATTATTGACAAGGTACAGGTTCATTTCTTTAATCTTATGTTGACGTTTGAATTTGGAGGTTGTGATCTTTTTTCATTCTTATTATACGTTGGTTTTGGAAGTTGTCATAGTCGTGTGCCTAAACGAGCACGTATTGCCCAAGTCATGGTCTCGGTTAAAGTAAATGAAGGAACAAAATGACGAAATAAAGGCTTGGTAGCAGAATGTAACATTCCTGCTACCATGCCTGTATTGACATACCACTCTTTGTGTTCTTAAATGCTGCTGCCTCACGAGTGTCTAGTTTCCTCAATGTTGAAGATTTGGAGCTATATGATCATTAATCGCTAGTGAACTGAACCAGCGACTTTTCGCTCTTGTAGACATTTGAAGAAGCAGATACCAAGCATGATGGGAAGATCGATAAAGACGAGTGGCGAACTCTGGTTCAGCAGCATCCCTCTCTCTTGAAGAACATGACTCTTCCTTACCTCAAGTACATCCTCTTATCTCCAGAGTCAGAAACTGTAGAATTTCATGTACTTGTTTGCGGAGTGAGTGTCTGAGGTCAGAGAGGAAGGAAGAAATTAGTCTTTGTTATTCAAGTCTAGGTCAAGGAATGCTCTTAGTAAGATCTACCGGAGCCGGAGTTGTACTCTTTGTGTGCATTATTATCAGCATTTGCAGTTCGATAATGTGAAAGCTATAGTTAAGAGTGGAGGCTTTGTCTCGTTCGTGAAGGTCGCCGCCGCAGAGTTACACAAACATCACTTCAGGCTCTGGAATCGTTTATGCTCTCTCAGAACTATCCCTCGTTTGAGGATCTTCGTTTAAAGCGCAAAGACATCACGAAATTGTACGCAAACATGTAGTGTGCAGGCAGTTGTAATAGTTTTCACAAGAACACAAGCAGGGAAAGAACACAAGAAGCTATAGAAATGATAGACGTGTCTGTCTGAGAAGTCTGTCGCAATCCAACGCTTGGAACCTGAGGAACGTCACATGTGTAGCAATTTCCTTGTACCAAACTATCGCTCGCTATCATTTGCCGATCGAATTCCCGGAAGGCTTCTCATCGGGTCTTGAAGGACTTGATGTGTAGTGTTTCCAGTGAACTAGGGTAACTAGCTTGTCACAGAGCAGAGTCCTTGTGTCAGGGGCTGACACGCCAGCTCGCAGCTTTCAGATGGGTAATGAGACTAGACGCCGAGGCCCGATAGCGAATAGAGCGAGTTCTGTGTCTTCGAAGCATCCAAATTTATAAATATGTAGTATCAATTTATCCATAATATATATAGCCTAATGCATATTTTGTACTACCTCCCTCCTTGGTGAGATTGTCGTTATGAGTTGGCAGTCTTGGGTTTGAAAACCCTACCGCAGACGACTGAGTGCGAGTTACTTTTGCCACTTGCGAGTTGTAAAATCCCTTGGCTATCACAAGCGATTGATCATCAAATGTCTTTTCGTGTGACAGGGACATAACGACTTCATTCCCAAGTTTTGTCTTCCATTCACAGGTGGAGGATACGTCATAACCACCAAATCCGGCCTCCACCCGCTCTGATAGCAGAGTTAGTTCTTTGCAGGGATGTTCTCCTTATCTGTAGATTTACCACGAGAGAATGCGAGGGCGGATACGATGAGATTCAAGGCCTGTTACAAAGGCTTTCTTGCACAATTGTCTTTTATCGCGCAGGTCCGCTTGAATCCATGAAGAGTTCATTGGCCATTTTCAGACGACTCGCATCCGGTATAAATTCTATCGGGAATGATTGGGGACTGGTGGCAGAATCGTAGATCAGGTTGTTTGCTGGAGTGCTTAAGCGAGAACGGATGCATGCCCTATAAAGGAGTTTGGGGCACATTCGTCAAGTCTAGATTTAGGAAGCTCGATATTGCTGATTTCACTGAAATTTCATTCCGTCAACCGTGAGGCCACTTGCTGGTGGCGCTCACACGATAGCAAGTTCTTCCAGGCAAGTTCCACGCTGCCGGTTGCAGCTCGCTATTCTCGTCGAGTGCTACGTACTATCGTAGGTTCCATCCGTCTGTAATAGAGTATTTTACGTTAACTTCTAAGTCTCTCAGACTTGTGTATTATTGGACTAATTGTTCATACGTTTCTTAATCTACAAGGCTGATTGAGTTTGAACGAGCCAGAAAATCTGAATTTGGCTCCTTTTTCCGTGTGCGTGTGCTGCATCTTGTCCCTTGTCCGTTGCCTGGGCTGTATGTACACACACACACACTCACTCACTCACTCACAGAGTATCGTACATTCGGTCGAGCCCGCGGATTGCCGGACCACCGAACTCACCGAACTCACCGAACTCAGATGTTTGTACGAGTCCAGTACGAAGACGATAGCTGGCAGGCAGGCTTGCAAGAGACGTGTACTGTACTTGATGCCGAGCTCTGCTGGGCAGTGTGGCGGATCTCAAGCTTACTTGTGCGCCGAACGCGAAGCCGGAATGAAGGTTGGCCCGGGGCTGATTTTATGCCCAGTTTTCATCGGAGGCGAAACGCGGATCCGCGGTCATACGCTGCACTCGGAAGGATAATGTGGAGAGTGAAAACTCTTGAAGCTACTGCAGCTCAGCACGATTCAGATTCACATTCAGCTCTGCTCGGCGCGCTGGTCATTGACATTCTGAGGTCAACTCTCGTTCGCATCGCGAAGCATCTACTGCCCTCCCCGTAAAAGTTGGATTGTGTCGTAGTAATTGTTCCGTGACGCTCAAGGGAAGCTCCCGCAGTATATCCCGTATCATGCCCCAGCCCCCAGCTGTGTCAGCAAAGAAATCCAGTTGTGCATGCGGAGGGCCTAAGCTCGGATTTTAATCTCTGCGCATATCTCCTGCAGCGGTTCGTAGCCATCCAAACATCGCGAGAGGACCTACCAGACTGAAATGCTTATTCCTCCGACGACAGTACACGGCTTGGAGTGTCTCCCGATCGTGGACAGATTTCTTTTGTATTTTATTCCGGAGCCCATGGGATGGGATGATGAGGCCTAGGGCTTGCTCATTGGCCTGGGATGACCCCTCGAGCCGCATGCATTGTCATTTTCGTGTTTTGAAATAGATCTAGACTCACTTCGGTACGAGTGGACCTCGTCCCTAGGGAACCGGACAGCTTCGAAGGGCTACGGAATGTCCATGAGCTCTACCACGCTCAGGCTCATGACCAGGCGTCCGATTCTCACACCTGCCCGCCTGCCTTCCAACTGCACGGGGGAGGAATTGATGCAAACTGGGTGAAATTCAAATCGGTGTGCGTGGAAACAGGCCACTACCGTGCTCCATACACGAGAATAATCTTATAGACTGGAACGTCAGATGCGTTCCAGGCTTTCTGTACGTGTCAACTCCATCGATGTTTCTTGCTTTGCATCACTTAGCCATTAAAGCTTTAAGCTCCTCCTCCTCCTCCTCGCTCCCTGAGCCGAGTTTCAGCCACAGTGTTGTATTGTACTGCAGTCCCGCGGAAAGGAGATAAGATTTGGGGCCCTACCTTTGACCGCAGTTCGAGAAGATTGACGCTGACAGCATTTGGCGAGGACGTGACAAACTGAAAGCGCATCGGACATCCATGTTTGTACGCATTAGTTCCCAAAGGGACAGACGGGTGCATGTCGTTGAGTGTTGGGGACACTACCGAACAAAAAGCGACCGATATCATTTCGCCGGAGACGAGAAGAGACGGGAGGAGAACTTCGTGTCATGTCAGCCAGCACGAGAAATCAGAACGGAGAAGCCCGGGATGATGTCCTTCGCAAGAAGGCCCGAGGGGCAAACGAGAACGGAGAGCTCATGAGTGGAATCCAGCGAGTGAGGAGCTTGTTCCGACCCGATCGATCTGCTCACAGCTCCCAGGTCTGAATGCACTATGCCACCACGTGGCCTGGCCTTTGTAGAGTTTCAAGCACTTAAAGCGCATCTGCGCAAGCTTCGAAGCTTCCGCTTCTGTTTCTAGTTGCATCGACGACTTGCGAGGCGTAAAGCGTTGCCTTCGCTGAATTAAATCACTGTGACATTCGCTTCGGACCTGAATGCTATGCTGCACAGCAATGACGCAGCTTCTCTCATATTTGGGACACATGGGGCAGGTACTTTACCGAAAGTATGGGGTCAAATCAATCGACTTGTCATGACAATGTATATTCTATGACACTCGTTGTATCCAAAATTATAATTTGGATATGGGGCATGTTTTATACAATATGAATTCAAGAAGATAGTAATCATGTGTTATAATTTTAACTCCTTTTTTTATTATATTTCGAACGTTTCTAATTGTATGTTGATGATTATAACATTAGGAAAACAAGCTCTGATCGTTTTAGTACTTCTATAGTTTAAAAGACTATGTTCAAAAAGCTAAATTAATTATATATATATATATATAATATTAATCAAATGTGAAACATATAGAGATTTGTTTAATATTACACAATATACAAGGTCACATTCTTCAAAAGAACGATGAATTCGAAAAATTCAACAAATCATGTATATCTAAACCGATAAATCGTGTATCTGTGATTCATCAAGTAAGGTTTACATTGCTTGACGCGGATAATCGAGTAACTCCTACTGTGATATCGGCAACCATTCGTTCGGGTCTCAAAGGTTTCGGTGTATACAGAGTTTCACCTCCCAGTAGTGACGCATACCGGTCCTACACTTAAGGGTCACTACTTGGAGGTGTCACTTAGAGTAGGTTTCGTAGCTTCAGGGTTTGAACTATAGAGTTACACGTGTCCGACATTAAAGTGGTCCACGTGTACCACAAACTTCTTCAAGTTCATTGCCTGGCGCGTTTTTTCTCCACCAAAAGAACCTTAAGACAGACCTTCTCTTCCTTATGCTCGACCGGGCGGAATAGAAACTCTGCAGACATCCCTAACACACGAGACAATTTCATGGATACAGATTTCACAGCCCTTAGTGAGCCTTGACATTCACGAATTTCAAACCTTAATCTGACATGAAAGTTTCAGAACGTACAAGGAAATATTTACATTTACATGTTGCTACAAAGAGAAAAAGAGAAAGAAAGAGTTATGTGATGGCATAACATCTGGCTCTGAACTGACGCACTGACATGAGATTTCTTGGTGAGTACATCTAGATCGTGAAGAATGCTCTGGAATTTTCTTACGAAGCTCTGTTATGAATTCTGTTACGAGGTTTGACGTTGAGTACATCTCGTTCGTGAAGAATGCTCGGAAGTTTTACTACGAACTCTGTCGAATAATTTTGTTGAAAATGTAGAAACACGTGCCACGGACGGTCACTATTTGAGATATTATGTCACTATTTCCTAATAGTGATGTAACGTTCTTATTTGATAGATTTTCAAACTAGTACCTAATGGTTCTTCGCTTTTAAGTCACTATTGGGAGGTGAAACTCTGTAGTCAAGTCCAAACACACTGTCCCTGACCGCAGCCCTTCGTACTTTGGCCCCTCGCTATTGGCCTTCGTTCCCTCCACAAAGCGGCCGGAACTCTTCCGGCAACATTGTACAGCGGACTCATTCGTTGACTCTGAGGGCGAACTGGTATACTCTCAGCGGAGTGTGAACGATACTGATCTTTGGGTTCGAGAGTATCTAGCCTGCGGCATGCCAGCCAACAAAGCTCAACGTCCGGCCTCCGGAATGCATTACTGCTGGGACATTGGTGTTCATGCAGGGAATGCATTCGACTTAGCGTGTTGAATCAGCACGAAGAGTAATGGTGGGAAAGTAGTTGAACATTCCAGATGCGGCGCCTTTCTGAAGATTTCCTTCAACAGAAGCCCTGAGTCAAAGACTCAATCTTCTTCCTGACAGTTGAGCAATCATGGACGATGTCCACGAGAAATGTCCACGTGGGGCTGTGTACGACAAACACCCCACGGGCAAGATTTGTAACACGTAGTACTGCAGTGTATGAGTTTTAGAGCAAGAGCTGATTAGTGCGAATGAAGACATTGATCTCCAATAGTACAATGCTCTGGGCTCAGAACTTTCTACGCTTTTGACGAAAGCAATGTAGTCAGACGTGCAAATCGGTGCCCATGCGCGGTGGGAACAGATTTCAGATCATGTTTGACAGGATCAGGACGTTATTCAAAAATAGCGATATGTAAACGAATCATAATGGGAGCAAGTTTTCCGACCGCCATCACTCCATTTGCACAGTAACCGCCCATTCGCAGCTAGCGTACGCAGGAACAAAGTATGAGCATCCACCGTACAGTACATATTCAGACGTGGATAAATTTGTTCCCTTTTATGTAATCAAGACTCCTCGTGAAGGAAGTAACGGAAGACATGTCCACCGAGATATCTTGACCCAAGATATTCCTCTTGTTCCTGATAAGCCCCTCCGTCTGGCGAACCTGCCTTGCATAGCTGCCCACTTTTTTTACAGTAAGAACGACGAATAAGAAATCCTACGACCACCTAGCAAAACTTGACAGACTAGTTTCTATGGGTCCAACTACGTGAAACCTTTCTAACTATGAACGAGTATATCGACACCCTGGGGCTGGCAAACGGACCAGCCAGCACAAGGGACAATGAACAATCAGGAAGGAGGAAGGAGTCCAATCATTCGTAGAAGATGCCCCCGCCTCGACATTTACTCGGTGCGGACTATGAGTCTACAACGGCCAATGCAGCGTGCCTCCATGGATTCTGGCCCAAAGCGGGTGGGCTGGCTGTCAAGCCAATCGGGATGCTTGTAAGTTGATGTGTCCGAGGACCACTTGCAAACCACACCGGCATCTTCATCTGGAACTGCCACTAGCTTTCTCTCAACGGTTGCCTACGATGACCAGTTGAAGAAGTCTGGACCACCTCTGGCCTTGAGCTCTTCCCCGGCATCTTTTCCCACTGCAATCATGTCGTCGTACGAGAAAGCACACTCGCGAGACGTCTCCAACACTGCAGGAATGAAAATAGAATCAGTCTCGGCAGGAGCTGGAATCACGCACACACACTGGATTGCCGAATCCATTGGGATGAGGTAAAGTGGGGGGATGTAAAGAGGATCATTAAATAGTATATACAGGGGAGTGGGCCTACTCACTGAGCTCAAGCCAGGTACTAAAAACTATTTGACAATCCCCTTAAGAGGATGCAGGAATACAATGCCCACTGGGTTACAAAGATCTCTCATCAGGGTTCACTAGCTTTCCCCCGGCATGTACTCCTAATAAGATGTGTAATATGTCCTAATCAAAGGCTCACCCACCTCTTCAACGCTCATCTATTTTCTGCAATATGGCACGATCACAAGCGTATCTGATCTCTTCTTCAAAAATCAGCGTTTCCGGTGATCTAGAAAACTGATGGAGTCTACCATAATCTTTGACGAGTCAAGCTCCTGACGTATGCATACAAGCATACACACTTACGGCATACACAAGACTTGGGGTGGCTGTTACCTAGCAGAAATTTCTCATCAAACCAGGAGCAAAAGCTAACTGTGGCCCTTCTCTTTTGCAAACTTTTTCGCTATAGTCGGTAAGGAGTGATGAATTTCGCAGATTACAGAGTAATGAAGGCACTGACCTTTGGTTCCATCTGGCGACGCGACGAGACCACGGAAGGTACAAGTGCCATTCCCGTTGCGGAAAGCAAGACCAGCTATTGGCGTTCGGCATGATCCGTCAAGAGCCGCTAAGAAGGATCTCTCGCATGATATAGCCAGCCGAGTGTCTTCGTGATTCAAAGAACTGAGATATTTCACCTGATCCATGCAAACATTCATGTTAGATCCAAATGTGAATATTCCCCAACGTTTTGTACGAGCATCGACACAATAGTAAGCACGACACACCCAGGCAGATAAGTTACGTGCTCGTTGACTCTCTTCGCGCGGTTGGAAGTTCAAAGGTGTTAACTGTATGCTACATAATACATTGCCACCCAGTGTGACCATTCAAAGTAGTACAAAAAGTGCCCTAGCAATCGTCTTAAGAGAATTTCGACACAGCCTGAGGGAGAGGGTTAAAGGAAATCCGGAAGTTTTCCCATATAAAGTCGTGCACACATGAATATGTAAAGGTCTCCACGTGTTGCACACGGTGAAAACCCTTCGACGTGCCACTGAGACATGATGCAATTCCGGTACCTACTCACGAAATTAAACTGAAAGCATTCGTTGTCAATGGACAAATCTCCCAGTCTCTTATCTCTTTCGGCGGAGCACTGAATCTTTGACAAAATAAGACCTCTTGACAACACATAACGATGACTTCTGAAGCTCAATCTCACGACTTTGAACAGCTTTCAAGTTTGAAAAAGTGAAGCATAAAACCATGAATTGCGTTCCAACCTCCCGTACTCCGGCTCAAAAGTCGGAAGGGAATGTGAAGAGACACTCGTGGTTCACGAGAGTAAGGTGCAATAAATGCAAAGACAGAGAGAGCAACATTAAAGCCCTTGAGAGAGCTGCACCCACAGAGACTTTTAAAGGCTGACAAGGTCTTACCATGGTGTCGTCATCTGATCGGCAAGCGATCCCGATGGCACCTTGAGCAATAGCAGGCAACATCTCCTCTGTGGAGAGAATGGCTGTAATGTGTTGGGTCATGTCCAACCGCTTTAGCCCGGCCAGAGCCAGAAGTGTGGCTTGGACTGTACCTTCGCCCAGCTTCCTGAGTCGAGTTTGAACATTGCCTCTGAAATTCACACACTGCACATGGAAGACGTCGATCAGCATTGAATACGCAACTGTGCTCTGCCTGCTCACTGAAAACATTAAAAACTTCCCAATCTGAAAAAGGAGAAAATCCGCCCGAAGTAGGGATTAGTACCTTTAGAGAGGGGTACTTGTTCAGAAGCTGTGACTGACGTCTGAGAGAAGCTGTGCCGACCACGCTTCCAGCTGGGAGCTCGGCAAGTGACGCATATCCAGGACAAATGAAAGCATCCCGGACATCCTCTCTGGGCAGATTGCAGGGCAAAATTGTCCCCTCCGGCAAATAAGTGGGAACGTCTTTCATGGAGTGCACAGCGATATCTATCGATCCCCCCAACAAAGCATCGTCGATTTCCTTGGTGAACAGACCCTTTCCTCCGATGTCTGCCAAGGGCTGGTTCAAAATCTTGTCACCTGTGGTTTTGATGATGACTATCTCCAATGCGCCTTCCTCGCACAGCTCCGGGTGGGCTTCTTTTAATTTATCGCGCGTTTGGTAAGCTTGCGCAAGCGCCAGAGGGCTGTAATTCCCAGAACAATTTAAACTCGTTCAAGCCACAGTTCGAGTGTGAAGTATGGAATTCCTTACTCACACATTACCCAACTCTCGCAATGTGTGCAACGCTCACGGGGCCTCGAGAAATGCCAGACGGGATCAAATTCTATACCACAATGTTAACGCAATTAAACCCTTGAAATGGAGCTAGAGCCGGAGCGGGCGCCTTACCTTCCCCTGGTTCCAATTCGAACGAGGGCAGTGCGGACGCCTGTGCCTGCTTCGGAGCTGACTGCAGCAGTAGCCCTGATGAAGACAGAAGTGCTTCTACCATTCCTCCTCCTGTAACAAATGGGGTCTAAAACCACAGCCTGAGCCCCGAAGGTGCCTTCCCTGTTCGAAGCCTCGCATCCCCAGAAACTACTCCGACCTCCAGAGACAACCAACCGCGACGAACAGCCTCGGCTTTTGCTGCTGATATCCACACTCGAGAAAGCGGCGGCAGCAGCAGATGCTACTTGCGCTTGCATGGTCGCCATTGCAACTGCAAGTGCTGCTGCTCGGCCTTCACCACCTCAAATGTGAAGACTCAAAACCCCACCAACTTTCCGTTGCCCACGAGAGAGTATTGGCTACCTCGCTGCCTCTCAATCAATCACTCTACTGGGAAAAGCTCGCTCGGGGGCCGGAGGGCGGAGTAATGTGGCAAGGGGTAAAGGGAGACCGATTCTGTGCCTGTTTGCGCTCGGCCTGTGAGTGGTCAGTGGGCGCTTCATTCATCCGATCTGGTGCGATCCGGTTGCATCGAGCGGCCCCGGGGTCCGAGCAGAGAATTTGGATAGCGTCTGCTCATTTCCCCCAGACAGGACAGGGCGAAGCTGGATTGTCCCTGGTCCCGTTATCCATCTCCATCTCGTTTGACGTCCTCCGTGCCCGTCAAGCGTCCCCAGTCCAGTCCGGTCCTGTCTGGAGGACTCCCGAAGGCTCCTCCTCTGGTCCTGTCCGTTCCAAGGGCAGAAGGAAGCTGTCAACGCTGGGTTTTCCTCCGGGCCCTGCCGGAGGACTGACCTGGCACCCCCGTTCTAGGAGCGGGTCAAGACTCGCAGACGTCGCAGCTCTGCGAGGAATTGAAGTTTTCGAGCGGCCTCCTCCGTCAGCCGAAAGACCACGCGAACCAGGCTCAGAATCCTTCTGGGAACCTTTCGGCATCGCAACTTTCGGGAAAAACTCTGAACCTTTTTTTAAACAACATTTGTTGTGACTGATCCAAAGTTCAGAGTTATCTTCTGCGGCTTTGGTAACTTGAAATCTGAACGTTCCGCCTATCAGAAACGTACAAGTCACCACATCTATCATTGATTAAGCTCGCTTGCCCTCCTTTCCGTTGGCACACGGTAAGCGATTGGCTACAGAATTCGGTGTTGAACACGTCATATCAACTGGCCTGGAAAAAAACTTTATATAAGCAAAAGAGAATGGGAATAGCCTAGAAGCTCTCCATTTCCACACCAAAGCAGACACATGAGGCTGGACACAGATAACATCACGATGGAAAATCTGTACAGTTACCCCTAAGATAAAATTAGCGTTCTAAGTCAAACTCTATATAGTTCAAAAGAGTATTCAAATAATGAACACTTGACTACGTTGTTTCTACCATAATCTCCGGCTAGTGCTTTTTCTAGATACATGGTGACTAACCAATACTACGAAATAATGCAAAAAGCTTGACAACCCCTCTCGTATAGTATGGTAGGCTGTCTTTTCCTAGGATATGCTTTGACAAACACATCAAAGCAGATGTTTATATTTATATCAGTAAGGTTATATTATATAACTCCAAAGTGAAATCATAATATGATTACACATCTTTCCACTTCACATCTCGGTTGATGCTGCTCTATTACCCAACTCTCCAAGAGGGCTAAATATACATTCCTTCAAATAGTAACATTTGTAAAAGCAGCTTCAACCCTTAACAAAACGTAGATATATTTTGATTGAAGTAAGATATAGAGCATTAAGTTTAATTGTTTTGTGTTAGAGAAAATTTCTTATATGTAATGGCATCATGGATAGTTATTCTGTGTATTTTGATGTGCATTATATCATATATATCCATGATACATTGAAAATTCATACTTTAACAATAAAAATGGAACTGAGTGGATCAACCATATGAAAACCTAGTTGCTATAAAAATATAGTTTGAGTTCAAAAGCTAACAACATATTGACACCATGAGTCATTGCATACTCTGAGTGGTCATATTCAAAATTTGCGAGCACACAACTTTTGCAGCAAGAACTAGACAAGGTTGTCTAATACAATATATTGATTTTCATTGTATTAGACAAAGAAACTTCTGCGAAGATAAATGGAAAACTACTTCAAACAAAGTAATAGAGATATTTTACATTTAAATCTTTAAGTCACTCAAGTCCAAATTGTGAACAAACAGAAGGAAATATCAGCTTACGATGTATTTTTATTATGATAGCTTACTCTTGCATCTACTCTTATGCATATTAATTCAGGTTAGCCTATAAGTATGAGAGAAGTTGTGAATGTTGTCTTTCACACATTACCGTTCAATTAACTTTCTTACTTGTGTTTCTCTAAACATAACTTGAAGGAGATACACCATATATCTCTTTCTACATTTTTTGAGGAATGATCTTCATTTTTCTTTCGCGTTTTGGACATGAGCATTACATTCAAACAGAAATGGGGGATGGGTTGAATTTAAATAAAACACATGGCTAATATTGCAAATTTCACATCCTTCATATTTTGAAGTACCACATTCTTATATTATATGAAGAGAATATAATTGTTATTTTTTATTACTTTTATTGCTGTTCATAAACCATACAATAACGCTTGCTAAAAAAAGATATATCAAGATACAAATTTATCAGTAATCTTAAATGAACGTTAAAAAAATACTTGAGAATGAATTGAAAAAATATAATAAAACAATACTTTAAAAAATCAAGATTTATTTTTATAAAAAATAATTGCATTCATTATAAAACTTGAAATTCTAATGATTAATATTATTCAATACTGTAGATCATTGCTTGTTTTGGGTATATATATATATATATATATATTTCAAAAATATTTTTAAACAAAATATCATAAGTTTTTTAAACAAAGATGACAAATTCAGAAATCAATTATATAGAATGAAACTTCTATATAATAGTTAAGAAGCATATTTTTAAAGTGAAAAAAAATTATTCATAATTCTTAAAAGTCTAGAAAAAGATTAAACCTATTCATAAATCAAATATATCTAATCAAGACATTGAAAAAATAATAAAATATGAAAAAAATTAATATTAAAGTGAAATGTATTTGAACCCTTTATTCTTGATAAAACCAAAAAAAACATATGTATAAAGATAGAAATATTTTTTAAATATTTTGAATAATATGATTAAAATTATTTTTATTCAACAATCATGAAAAAAAATTCAAAGTTCAAATGAAATACAAAAAGTGATATGACTCAAATATGTATTTTTTTATATAATTTTTTTAAAAAAATTAGAAAAAATAAATTACACATTATCATGATTAAAATATTAAAATAATTTTAATATTTAATGCAACATAAATGTGAAAAAAAATCAAATTCTCATAATCAAGAAATTTTTAAAATATTTCAAAATACATGGAACGTTTATATTGAAAAGAATCCTTAATAATATCTTTATATGAAAAGACAAAACATAATATTTTCAAAGTAATTAGGTTTTTGCAGAATGCAAAATTGTAATTTCTTGTTTTAAGATATCTCTGTATCTGTGAATGAAAAATAACTGAAACTGTTCGTACTTGGAATATGTATAGAATTGATAAATGAATAAGAAAATTTTGATATTTTAGTCAAATATTGCTAAATCAACTTTAAACCATGTTCATTTGAATTTAAATTACGAAACTTATAATTCTTATCATCTTAATATTTATTCTTCTAACTTAACGAATTTCTGTATATTTTATTATTAAAATTTTCATTTGAAATTCAAATTACAACTTAATGAAATAATTGAACTAATTTCAGTCAGTTTTTCAAAATTATATAACTACTTATTCTGTATTCTTTCTAAATTATGCTTTTCATGTTTGGAATGAATCAGTCAAAATATTCTGAAATTCAATATCAACACATTTTTGAATAATTTTGAAATTTTGTTTTTATATTTGAACTTAAATATTTTTAAAGTTTTAAAATATCTTGAAATTTTTCATTATAAAAATTAGGATATAAAAAAATAAATGAAATTATCAGTATTTCATGTCAAATTCAAGGAGTTTCTGTTTCATGAATTATTAAATTTATGAATTTTTTTCTTAAATAATTAATTTTTTCCAAAATTTATTTTTTTATCATAAATTATTAAATAAATATAATCACATTAACATAGTATTTTAAAATTCTTTTTATATTTTAATTTCAAAAGATTCATTAAATGAATTTCTGTTCAAAATATATGGTTGGAGGAAAAATTTTTAATTGTAGATGTGACAAAAAAAGAATAAGATAATGATAATTGATTTTCTAAATAGTTTATTTCTATGAAGTATAATAATATTTTTTCTTATTTATTGAAATGATATCATAACATGTTTTTTCATCTAATTTATTAAATTTGAAACTATGTGTTCAAATTTTGAAAATTAAATCTGAAAATATAGTTTTAAAAAAATACACTAAGTTCGAATGGTGTTCATTCTCACTTAAAATAATTTTTTTAAAATTTAAAATTTTTTTTGTTTGTGTTTTCTTGCTTTAAATTTTTTATTTTTTCTAAGTCTAGTTAGTGTTAGACGATAATTGTAGATACAATCATGCAATCATGGGAAAATTCACTTACATAATATTCCACGGGAATGTTTACATTGTTTGAGTTTATGGTATTTGAGGCAATGAGATCTTGTTTTGCACCTCTGTGACTTCCAATGATATAACCATTAAAAGTCGTAGATTTCATACCTTAAATCCACTGTCACTTACAACACGTAATCGACTCATCGCTATCACCGACAAGGATTAAATCTTATTTTAATAATAAATCAATACTATCAAATAGCATCCTTTGTAGCTTTTGTTACAGCTACATACTTAGTTTCAATTGTAGATTGAACTACGCATTAGTGCAAGGTAGATCATCAATTAATGCATTTATCACCAAGTGTAAATACATATCCACTTGTAGATTTAACTTGGTCCAAATCTTGTCTTGTAATATTAGTTGTTGTATGTGTGAATAAGTTGTTAAAAGTAACTAAGAAGTTGATCATTGTTAGCTTAGCTATGACTAAATCTAGCTAATCATGATTAAATCTAACTAGTTTTAATTAAGTTTATCTAGTTATGACTAAATTTAGTTATTATATATATACTTGGCAAAATAATTAAAGTTTCTCTAGAAGTTTTGAATGAGCATTATTATTTTGTCTCTTGCAAAAGTCTAGATTCAAAGAGAAAAAAACTTTGATTACATGATTATTTTTGATTGGTTTGACTATGTAATGAAAATTTCATTGCTTAGATTAAGTCCAAAGTTGTCTTAGTGGTAAGTGGAGGTTCTAGAAGTTTGAGAGTCTTAAATCTCATGTCGTTATCTCAACCTAGGTATTAGAAAACTTCTAGAAGCTTTAGGTAGACTAATGACATATAGCCACGTATTGAAAATCAATCAAACTTACCATGATTTATATTTGTAAAAGTAAATTACATAATAAGTACAATTTGTTATTGCGATAATTTTTCAATTAGTAGAAATAGAGAGGTAGAAAAAACACTCTCAAACAAGTTTGAAGAGTTCATTGTGTGAATACTCGTTTCATCAATATAAGTTGAGTT